GATGTGCGATTCGGCTATCATGGCGCGCAAGCCTCTTGTTTTGGTGGAATTTAGTCGGTAATCCTCCTCCGCGTCGGATGATATGATCCCCAAAGGACGTTTGCTTTTCTCTGGGAGATAACAGGATTACGGACAAACGTTGTCAGTGGGTTCTTCAACGGGATGCTATCTTTATGAAATGATTGAGGCCGTGCGTCTCAATACTTTTGTCATCTATCTGCCGTTTGTGCGTTCCAGGTGGCGTGACCTTCTTCGTGGCGCTGTACGACTACGAAGCCAGAACGTCAGACGACCTGTCGTTCAAGAAAGGCGATCGCTTCCAGATCATTAACAATACGTACGATTGTGTCCCCCCATAACAACTACAAACGGACGTGTGGCCACCTGAGCGAAAGTGTAGCGCTTGATTGACAGCCGATTCCCTCCGCAGGGAAGGAGATTGGTGGGAAGCTCGTTCCATCACCAGCGGGAAGAAAGGTTACATCCCCAGCAATTACGTCGCCCCTGCGGACTCCATACAGGCTGAAGAGTAAGTAAGACGCCACGTGAGTGACACACGACACCATCCATCGATTTGCTGTGGTGTCAATAAGTTTGTGGGTTAGCCCAATGCCACACTGAAGCTGTGGAAATCTCAAGACCAGTCTGGAAAAAGTTTAGGAAACGCTGGAGCAATGTGTTCATGTTGATGACCTAACGACATCGGTAGCCCTCTACTCCGGAAAAAGCAATGTAAACCACTACGCCAGCATTTCTCTGACACTACCAGTTGGCCGCAAAATGTTTCAGTTCAAAAGCTCATTTCTCCATCTTAACCACCAGGCCCAAATTATCTGGTTACTTCTTGTCGGTCTTCCCAGGTGGTACTTTGGTAAAATGGGCCGGAAGGACGCAGAGAGGTTACTTCTGAATCCAGGGAATCATCGAGGGACGTTCCTGGCGCGAGAAAGTGAAACCACCAAAGGTGACGACTTCACGGTCCACTTTCTCTGCTACCTGCTTACATGTTTTCAAGTGAATTGTATCCCGCTGGTCTCGGTGTCCAGGTGCTTTTTCTCTCTCTATCCGTGACTGGGACGAAAGCAGAGGCGACAACGTGAAGCACTACAAGATCCGCAAGCTGGACAGCGGAGGGTACTACATCACCACGCGAGCGCAGTTTGACACCTTGCAGAAACTTGTCAAACACTACATGGGTATGTCATGATGTACTGTAGTCAGAAATACAGTGAGACACGTAGCCCCT